AAAAAATCGAAATATTGAGAAAATCGCCTTTAAATTTGTCCAAATGAAGTTCTTAGCAATGTATATTACTAATCAAAAATTAAGTTTTTATATATTTACGGTAGGAAATTTACAAAATATCTTCATGGAACACGATCTTTGCTTAATATCCTAATGATTTTTGGCATTAAAAAAAATCAATAATTTTGACCCATACAATGTATTTTTGGCTATTGCTACAAATATACCCCAGCGACTTAAGACTGCTTTTGTGCTCCAGGGTTGCATATACTATATTAAGAATATACTTAAGTGAGAACTGAATTTAATGTTTTGACACTTATTTGCATGTTTACATTTATATTAAATGCATTAAATTGCACTTTAGAGTGCTATTCTGACAAAGTATGTTTTTCAGTTGTCGTTTTTTTTACCCATTTACATCTTTATATGTAATGCCATAATAATTCAAGTGTCATTGATATATTGTTAAAGAAAGTGTACTGCCAAATGTATAAGAATTCATGCAAAAATATACTTTGTCATTTCTATTGAGTTCGAATGTCATGTTTTAAATATATTAATAATTACACATTTGTAATGATAATTTAGTACATTTAAAATATATTAACATTTAATGTAATATCAAAAAAACACACTACAGTTACAATTATAATCAAGTACTTTACACGTGATTTAATTAGTTAGCCTTAGTCAACATTAAAATAAGTGCTTTTTTTTAAAGCATGACAAAAGATGATTAAAGCAAAGTACTTTTTAAATAAAACGTTTAACTTTTTTTGACAAGTGTACTTTTTTTTTAAAGAAATGTGTAAGAAACAGTCATGAAAGTGTGCTCTCTGTAAGTAAAATTAATTTCATTAATATTATATTATGTCCAATGACAGTACATTTAAGATTTGAAGTACACTACAAGTGCACATTCAATACAATAAAGCACATTTATTTTTCATAAGGTTGTGCTTTTCTTACTGTAAAAGAAGCCACACAATACTACCTTAAATGCAAATTTCTGTAATGGTAGGTTTACTGTCTGTATTAGTGGTGTGCATTAAATCTAAAAGCATGGTTTAAATATTTAAATATTTTATATTAAATATAAAAATAAAATATTGAGCTTGCATTCTCGTTACCTGTTTTTTTGAGAACAGCAGGTAATTATAATTCTACCACCTGGTTTCTAAGACCCAAACTAATTCACGTGCTTTGAAACAACATTTTGAACAGATATCGTGTGGGGAGTTTGTTGTTGATGACATAACCTGTGCCAAACAAATCTGCAATCATTTCATACACTTTTTGACAGCTTTGTTAGTTATAATGGGAGCATTCTAGATTGAGAATTCACATTGCTCTCGGTGTAGACAGGGTGGAAGTCAAACAGCACAGGGTGCAATGAGTCTACTGTTGTGTAAACTTACACAGGAGCAGTGGTGCAGAGTGACAGGAGGTGAGAGAGAGACAGTCCACAGCTCTCCAGACCGCTCGACTCCAGCCAGTGCTCTGAGCTCTCATACGCATCAGTGTGATCCATCCGCTTCTGCATGAGCTCAGTATTAATGATGATTCACGGGTCAATAATACGGCAGTGTGCTCTCACAACAAAACCAGGATTGAGGATTTCACACAGCAATGGAACTCAAAGGCCATTCAATATGTAGATACGTTTATTTCTTCATCAGAAATGTAGCATTGTGAAACTGCAGTGAATGGGTGCCGTCAGAATGAGAGTCCAAACAGCTGATAAAAACATCACAATAATCCACAAGTATTTCTTGTGAAGTGATGCATGTTTGTAAGAAAAAATTAAGGTATTTGAACATTAAACCACCGCTTCTCGGCAAAATGTGAGTCCATAATCCGTAATAACACTTCCTCCAGTGAAAAAGTCCATCCCCTGTTGTCCTCTCACATCAAAATCCATTGTTTTCACTTGTAAACAGTGCTTGATCTGTGCATATTTCTCTCCTGGTTCAGACGAGACGACTTTGTCATTGGACAAAGCAAAAATAATTGTATTTTAACAGGAAGCAATGGTTAAAGGTTAAAATGTCTAAATGAGGAATTTGTTTCTGACAAACACACTTTTCACTTCACAAGATGATAATTGATAGTTGTGGATTATTGTGATGTTTTTATCAGCTGTTTGGACTCTCATTCTGACGGCACCCATTCACTGCAGAGCAATGCAACATTTCTCCAAATCTGTTCTGATGAAGCAAGCAAAAACTCAAGAGTACATTTGAGCAAATTCTCATTTAGGCACGAACTATTCATTTAAAATGTATTATTATTAGTATTATTAAACTGCATTAATAAATTTAGGTGAACAGGTGGCAGTGAAGTCGCCATTACATTTTCTCTGAAGACCGGTGGGATTTCCATGGAGGACTGATCACTCACAAAGCCAGACTCACAGGGACTGTTCTCTAGCCTCCAGACCATTCAAATAAGATATGTAAGGGAAAAAATGAAGGAAAAGAAATGGCTCTTTATAATCTAGCACAGATGAATACAGAAACAAAAGGCTGAAACCTGTATAATCTCACCACTTGACAGGCCCTGTCTTCTGCTCCATACGGAGATGCTCTTTTCTTGGCAGGATCTCCCAGGTGCTGCAGGTTCTCTGCGAGCGCTATGAGATAACAGTGTACTGTGATGAGCAATGCTTAAATCTTGGGAGGATTGATCTCTTCATACTGCAAACACTCGTCTACACTATCATAGAAAAGTACAGTTGTTACCTGAAGGTTTCTGCCTGACTTGACCCATAAAAGTGACGTTTGTTACTGTAACGTAGTCAGGTTAATCCAGTTATAATTGCTATAAGAGTCTTTGTCATTCTGAAAAAAGTTTTCATTCGCCTGAAACCATCATATGAATGTATCTTAGTACATACAACAATCCCCGGACTATTGAGAGTGCTCTTCTTACATTGTTTGTTACAATGTGTCTCTATGTAGCCTACATTACCATTCAAACGTTTATATAGCCTAGTAATTAATATTAAATGAATAAAGCAAGGAGGCATGACAATGAAGACAAGTAATGTTACAAAAGATTTCAACATCAAGTAAATGCTGTTATTATGAACTTCCTATTCATCCAAGAATCACGGTTTTCACAAAAATACTAAGCACCACAACTAATGATAAGAAATGTTTCTTGAGCAGCAAATCAGAATGACTTCTGAAGGATCACGTGACGCTGGAGCTGCTAAAAATTCATCACAGTAATCGATTACATTTTCAAATATACTCAGAAAACTGTTATTTTAAATTGTAGTAATATTTCAAAATATTGCGGTTTTCACTGTATTTTTGAACAAATAAATGCAGCCTTGGTGAACATAAGAGACTTCCTTCAAAAACACTTAAATCTTACCTTTATATTGTTTGCTGCTATGTTTATGTTTGCTAAAGCGCTTTTAGTATTGGCTGTAAGCACTATGCAATTATTGTTGTTATTATTAGTAAATTATGATGTAGTCTTCAGCTCATGTATTTTAACGATGTTTTAATTTAACGAAAGAATGAAAAAGAAACGATTCTGAACGGAGATTCTATGGTTACAGTAGAAACGAGCTAACTATGCTATTTTGCAGGAAACAGAGCGGTTACCATGGTGAGGTATTGCAAGGTTATGAATGTTTACCTGCACAGACTCCGAGCGGCGCAGAAATCACTGAATGTCCTTGTGGGGTTCAAACACTGATCTATATAATCTATTATATTATATAATATAATGGTTCAAACTCAGCAGTGACTGACAGCTGCGCTGTGTTAGGCGTCTCCATAGCAACCGACGAGTGCAGCGCTGTCGTGGAGCTCACGAGCTCTTGTTGACATTGTATGAAGACATTTTCATGATCGGCGTAACTTAAGTATCAGTGCAATTATTGCTCAGACTTATGGATATGAATAAAAGCTGAGCTTTGAACTTTAGCGCTTCCTGCAGCATGTTGCGAACAGGTGTGCTACACATTTGATGAAAAACCTTGAATATGTGTTGCAAGGAAGAAGATATAAACACTTTTTTTTATAAACAATTTTTTCTAATCTTTTTTGTTGTTGTTGCAAAAACAATTTTATTATCTATTTAACTATATGCATAATTCCTTACTGTTAAACAAGGCTGTGAATAAAATAAAAGAATCATGCGATTTCTATCTATCTATCTATCTGATGATTTCAATCTATCTATCTATCTATCTAATGATTTCTATCTATCTATCTATCTGTCTGATTTCTATCTATCTATCTAATGATTTCTATCTATCTATCTATCTATGTCTGATTTCTATCTATCTATCTATCTGATTATTTCTATCTATCTATCTAATGATTTCTATCTATCTATCTATGTCTGATTTCTATCTATCTATCTATCTATCTGATTATTTCTATCGATCTGATGATTTCTATCTATCTATCTATCTGATTATTTCTATCTATCTATCTGATGATTCCTATCTATCTATCTATCTATCTGATGATTTCTATCTATCTATCTATCTATCTATCTGATGATTTCTATCTATCTATCTATCTATGTCTGATGATTTCAATCTATCTATCTATCTGATGATTCCTATCTATCTATCTATCTATCTATCTATCTATCTATCAATCAAAGCAATGCAGCCTTGGCGAACATTAAGAGACCTCATTCAACAACACTGAAAAAAGTCTTAATTAATCATCGTGAAACATTGTTCATAAGGAAGTGCTAGTATGAGGGATGCCCCATATTTAAAGGTACTGTAAATGATTTCAGCAACTTCTGCTTGAGTTAAATTAGATCACTCTATTTCTTCAAGCACACGGCCTCTTTCCAAAACCCTCCTCCAGGACCTGTCAGCCAACGCAATGTGAGGAAATGCGAATGTGCAAAAGCTAAAGAACCCTTTAACGTTACATTTCACTGAATTGCATTGACAGTCTAACCCTTTAATTTACCAAATCCATTTCAGTTTTGCAAACTTGTAAAAGTACACTTCCAAAAATGACACCAGCAATCTCAGGATTTTTAGTTTTACTTCAATGTCAAATACTGACAAAAAGAGTCCATGAGCAGAAGCAGTCTGGTGAGAGAATTTTTCTCTAGCTCAAACCGGGTGATGTTTTGAATATTGCAAATTTAACTAGTAGTTGCTAGGCAACCATACATCTCATGCTTCCAAAAATTACTCAAAATGCAATTAGCCACAGATTCTTCATGCATGCAAGGTTTGGTGAATTTTTACCATCGGGATAGAAAGTAGAGCAATCGCTACAGCCGGATTCCTAAAGAAGTAAAGCTCAGTTGAACTCAAACAGTTCGCCTTCTTTAATGCCTTTTATTGTGTACAGTGAGATACTGAAACAAAGAGTAGCAGAGAAAACCGTTGTCTTGCCAGTAATACGGATCTGTTAACAGTAACTTGCACAAGGACTGCTAACATCCTTTGATAGATAATACTGTTACTCATACATTAGTTTCCTTCCCTTTTAAAACCATAAATAATAGCTTTTCATTATGCAGGTTTTTTCCATTTTATGATGGGTTTCCCAAAATATCCAAAGCAGAAGCAGTCTTTAGCACGCAAGTTGTCCACTGCGGTCCACCGTCGTTCTCACAGTTCACATTAATTTAGGTCCCAGTGCGATACGGAGTGACATCTTTTGCCAAAAGCAATTGTACACATCTTGCCTGAATGCAGGAGGGAATTTCTTATAAACATTTTTTTATCAATTCTTCGATCCAAGAGTGTATGTTTTTACCCCATATATTTACGAGAATCACCTAAAATTTGAATAAATATACTTTATCTGTTTGCCATCCCTATAATGAACATGAATGTTTCCTAGGAAAATGCAGTCTTTTAAAGCATTAATGAAACTAATTTAGTAAAGAATGTAAAGGCGACTGTGAGCATGACCTTTCTTAAGTGGATTAAACAAAAGAGCACATTCAAATAATACAACACGCACTAAGAGAAGATTTATGAAAAAACAACAGCTTGTGGGCAAAATGTAACCTTCATATCACACATCCATCATAAACAAACACTTATGGTTTTGTTCCACTGTAAAGACACTCTCAACGGAGTACATTTGCATTCCAAAAAGGGGAACGTTTTAAAAACCGAGCGAATGTAACACGCACGCATTCTTGAGCGCCTTTTATTCAGTGACAGATAAATAATTTGCCATGATCGTAGCATTTGAACGAAATGTCTGTGATCAATAACTTACAGGGCACATATTTTGTCATGGTGGGGGAAATATAATTCTGAATCGCAAAATAATGAGGTAAGGAGTTCATTTTTGTACATCTGTAGTGCTTCACCTACTGAAATGGCTATACCACGCAGTGCTCCCTAAAACCCAACTCATGCCCTTAGCATTCATACAACAAAACAGGTTTATGGCACATTAGCAAATCAAACCAAACAAATGAAGGGCTCTGCAAACCCAGAGATCAAAACAAGAAGAGATGAGCAGGTGTAAAGTCAATGCACAAATACATCCGCCTGTGATTGAACTAAACTCGCCTCACACTCAAGTAAGCTCAGGCGGGAGTTTATTTTGGTATGGTGTCAGATTCAGAGACGCGTCCGTCAATATCTGAGCGTGTAACAGGTTTAACAGCGAGGCACAGCCTTGCAGGGTCCTGACCGGCAGTCCTGGAGTGTTCGCCTCATGTAGCGTGCGAGCAAAATTGTTCTTAATACTGTTCCCTTTTTCCTTTCCCTCTTTTTTATCAGTGCAGTGTCCCGCCCAGCTCTAGGGCTGCTAGAGAGAATGTGGGAGTCCCGTTGTGGTCCCTCTGGATGGACCGAGCGCCCGGTCCATCGTGTCACTGCCCGCATTCTCCACCAGTTTCTTGTCTTTCCTCTCCACAAAGGCAGGGGGCGCAATTGTGTGAAACTCTGCAAACTTAAATGAACAGAAGATACAGAACTATATTCCAAAGTAAAGTAGTACTGGAAGCAGTCGCTGTGGATGCGCTCTGTCCTTTCCGGACGGGCCTGCGTGTACTCCAAAGCCCTGATCCTTTGGGTTGAAACTCAAAGGTGCAACATAAAGACAGCACGGGTTTAACGAAGCTCGGGTTGGGCGGAGGGGAGCACTCGTATGTAGTGTGTGCAGTAAGCGTCTGTTTACTTTCGCAGTTTAATGAGTTATTACCATATACCACCACCCCCTGTCGTTGGCCCTTCTCGATGAGTGCCGTTTCCTTCCGTCTCACTTTGAACACCCCGGCTGTCCCTGCTGGGAACGTCCCCTCAGCCAGGAAGACAGACTTTTCCCGCAAACAGGAGCCCCACTATTGTGAAGAAGATGGAGAGCACGAACAGTACATAAGAGGAGCCCACCACTGTGTTGTTGGGTAATTTGTACGGTTGTCCCCCTACTTCATTGATGTAGAATCCTATTGGGAATATGAGGGCGGCCATACAAAACAAGATCACTGTAAAAAAAGACAGAAAGAAAGCGTTACTATATAGATGATACAGGAATTTACACACACACACACAATAATGAGGGAAAAAACAAGGTTGGATGATCAACAACAAAATTACAGAGTTAAGCTAACAGGCAGAGTGGCAGAATCATTCATTTAAGCATGGTAATTATTCTACCAATATTTACAATTTTTGACCAACAGGGGGCCCCAAAATCCTTAGGGCGTGTTCATAAGCTCTATGTAATTTTAATTCACCAAAGCAGTACCAAGATACAGTTAGGTCTGGCCAACATATGGATTATTCATCATGATTTTAGTACCAGTATAAAATTAGAGGTGATGGGGAGTGAATATTAATGATTTTAGCATGTTTTATATTAAGTTTCCTAAAGACTCAATCCTTCAATGTTCCACCCTTGTTTCATGAATTTGCAAGTATAAGAACATTATGAAAGATGTTAGTATTCAATTTAAAATTCAGTAGCAAAAATTATATTCATGTATATATTTACATGAATCAGTTCAAACTGACAACTTCAATTAACAAATTTATTATTTAATTACGTCATTCATCAAAAATATGTATTATCAAGAACTTTTGGAGCAAATTCATAAATTCTGAATGTTATTAAGAATACAGTGAAATCACCCAGTCCAAGATATCAAATCACTTCCTGTGTTGGTGACCATACTGTCATCATCACTGGTATTTCTGAAAGATGGTTGATTACTTTAATAGTTGAATAACAGAAGCCCATTTAAAGGTGCAGTATGCAATATTGATAGCTAGCGGTTGAAATGGGTCCTGCAGTCAAGCTCAAAATATTGGAGAGAGTGGTTTCTCCTGCCCCTTCATCATCAGACTGGATGCTCAAGCGGGTTGCCAGATTGAGGACATGCAACAGGAACGAGCGCAATTGAAAATGGAAGCTGACAATCCATACACTGCAAGTTGATGAGTTGATTTATCCACGTTTTAATATGCTTCTGGTCATAGAGCTTTTTATATGGATGCCAAGGCTTTTTAGGTTGGGTAGAATCTGTGATCAGAATCAGAATCAGAATGAGCTTTATTGCCAGGTATGTTTACACATACATATTTCACATTTTTTTTCGTGACAGAAGCTTCCACAGTGCAACAGAATGACAGTGACGGAACAAAAACACAGATAAAAAAAAATATATATAGAACAAGTAAATAAGGAATACAAAATACAAATTGACAATTGTATTTACAGGTATATTAC